AACCACCTCACCGTCTTGTGGCGGCAGTGGCAGCAGTGGGTGATTCGCAATGCTCCTCAATGCACATGAAATGCAGTGAGCGAAACGAGGAGGTGGGGGAACCCTCGCCACACTTCCTCCGCTCCCAGTTCAATGTTCACCCTCGTGTTCGTCATGCATGCGTTGTTTGCAAGCCCTGTTGTAGTGAAGGAACCATCAACACACTGCGTACTCCGGCCCTATTGATGCCTACTCCTGTATGGCCCGCCTTTGGACCCTGGATAAAAGTAAAACTTCTTGCTTCTTAATGCATTGAGATTCTGTGGGCACTCAAAGAAAGCGCATCCTGCTTTGGTAGATCTGGAGGAAATCGTTCCTGCTCACAGGGCCCCACTCTGTTGCAGTAGTTTATATCAAATACTTAGCAGCTTATTCAACGAGCTAATCATAATAAGTCGCATTGTCACACATTACCGCCACAATTGGCATTATGGCTGCTGCGCTGTTACATTAGCTGTGATAATTCAAGAACCTCATGTCTCTCAGATGGATTCTTGAGCTCTTCCTAAATATAATATTTCTCCTTAAACCGAGGTATGATGTCAAAGAACTTCAGCAAAATTTAATTCTTTATTCAGGACTTTTCAACATAACACCGCTGATAGTGCGTTATGCATTTGGATTGCTATGAAAAAAAGCTGCAACTATTCTGTTACTGTTGGACATCCACACTTCTTCATGCAGTTAACTTTCATCCAATGCTTTGCAAGATGGTAGCTGCAGGAGCTTAGTGCGCATATGATATCCGGAGACTTTATTTTCGCACTTCTGAAACGATTTCCAATGAATAACATATATGTGAGCGTTTGTACTGTCAGTCGAAAACTCTCAGAAGCTAGGAGTCCTAAGATCCATTTTGTAAGCAGCGCAGTCTCAAATACAAGCGGTAAGGGAAAGCAGGGAAAATATTCAGCGAATGGGTGCAAATGACAAAGTATGTCAAAAAAGTATAGGTTTACACCACTTCTTATCGATATCTCTGGAACAAATGAACTCCTTTCGAATTTTTCTAGCATTCTTCAAGGCAAAATGTTAATATATTGTGGTAAAACTTGAAATAAGAGCAGAGCAGGTCTTTTGAATTTTTTTCGAAAAACATGGTGTCCCAAAGGTATAGGTTCAATCCGATTTTGGGACTTTCTTAAGGATATACATAATGAGACGGACAACAACAAAATTAAATTAAAAGTTTGGAGTGAAATGATTAACTTCTTCCAGAGATATCTAAGAAAAATGGAGTGTGCCTATATTTTGAGAAAAACTGCTTTTTGGCCGAATGGGATGAGTAGCACCATACGCGATCTGTTTGAGCACCCCTACATTCCATGGTATCAGGTTCCGTCTGAAAAATCACCTCACCGGCATCACACAGACGAACAAGTTGAGCAACAGCACTGCACAGAACACATGAGGTGAAATACATTAGGATCTTTAGCGGTGTTGAACGCACTCTCTTCTGCTCTTTTACGCTATTTGAGAAGGACGAAGTGGCTTCTGGACCTGATGGAGTTTTGCATTTCACACTCCATTAAGCGATATGAAAGCACTCATTTGAATTCGGATGTGTCTTGTGCAAGGTGGCAAAGGATTACATCGCATGTGATTGCGCACAATGCATTAACGGCGGAATTCATGATGAAAGGCAGCCCACCTAAAACCAAGGCGAAGGCAATCACTGACGAAGTGATCAGAGAAGTGATCAGAGCCCAAGAAGTCCATTCAATGAAGCCCTTTTTTGCCCGTTGATTTTCGCATTGGAGTGAATCTTCTCGGTATTGACTTATTAGTGCGGCCGCAATGCTCTGCTTCTCTTCCGAAACCGTAGAGTCCGCGGCTAGAGTCTGAGGCGAGGGGTCAGCCATTCTGTTAGTTTGCATCTGCGCGAGCGGCCAAGTATGGCCTTGCTAGGCCGCTGAGCTCACACCTTTTCTACGAAACGCGCATCGACCGCACCCCTAGGGGACCGCCGCCTATCGACTCGGTATCTTCTTCTTCGACTACCGATCATATTGAGGAGGAATCCTCCTTCAACTGGTACTCTAATTTCAAAGCGAAGAAAAAGGTTATTGGCGTGCAAAATAGCGAGTCGAGCGGAACCGCTCATTTTATTCCGTAGGAAGTCGGAATGAAATGGTCTTTAGGTCATGTTGAGTCCCGTGTAACAACCACTGGAGTGGTTCCTTTGGTAGGTCACAAGGGCTAATTGCCACCGACGCCGAATGCCCCGACGCACCGTTTACGCAACTCAATGAGCACGGCAAGGGTGCTGAGTCATACCGAGCAGCCGAATCAGCGGTGGAGGTAGGTCATTAGAGGAATGCGCAAAAACCTCAGGTATCCGACAGGAGGCCCGTCGTGCGTCGAGAAGGCAGAGACACAGGCGGGCCAGCGGACGAGTCGCAGCGCGTACTGAAGCGATTTAGCGCCAAGTAAATAGAATGTATTGCATTATAATACGTCCCGCATAACACAACGCGCTACGGCTAGTCGTCGATCCGCTATCGTCTCTACCTCGTTGCCGCGCGAAGGGTCTCCTGTCGGGCACCTTGTACTCATACGGCGTGTTTCCGTCCTCTCTGCTCACCCTGATGCTCCGCCATACCATACCCAACCTTGTGGAAGTTCTTTTGTTTTTACACATGCCATGGCCGTAGGAGGACAGTTTGAGTTCTACCGTACCCCGCTTCGTGGTGGGATCATTCTAGCAGGAGGGTAAACCCTCCATGGAGCTGCCAGCGGAGAGGTTCAGTACAATGGAATGGCTAGACCTTGAAAGGATCGACGACTCTAATTCAGGCGGCTGAGGGTCTGTGAAGAAACTAATAATACTAATAAATAATATTACTAAGCATCGCAGTCGAGTTTCTCGTAGTAAGTGAAAAACGCTGAGGTAACAACTTCACTCGCCACCTATAGACCTGCGGCGAGTGATTAGATAGTTGATAGGCGTTCCGCGTCAACCGCGCCAAAGAGAAGACCTGTTAGATCGCCGGGGCATATTTTTCGATGCGAATAGCGTGTTCGCCTGCAACCTTAGGGGTCCTATAGCTAGAAATTTCAGCTCTATTCCATTATTGCGACCTTAAGAATTCATTCATTCCAGAATTTACTTATAGAGGTATTTTGATGCCTTCATCATAAACAACCATGTTCGGCGACATTTGGCACCAGGTGGCGCCACTTTGTCACGACGGTTGTTTCCAATAAATTTGGTGTAAACTTGTGTACAGGGGTTATTTGGTATCCTGATTACGAATATGACATACGCTTTTGGGATGCGCTGTCTAACGCATATTTTCCTCTCCTGGGCTCTCTCACTTAGGTACAGTGCCTAGGGGTAAGCTGTGGGAGGGGAGATACCTCGTTGGGCAAATTGCGCATCGTAGGGCAAGAAAAGAAATGAGTGAGATCGCAGTGTAATGGCTTGCTAAACTCTGAGCCTCCTCTCCCCAAAGGCTTAGTCCTGATTGCGATCCACCCAGTGAGAGGGCGCAGACGAGCAGAAAATAGGCGCCAAATAGCGCCAACGCCAAAAATGAATGTCATATTCGTAATCAGGGCACCAAATAACCCCTATATACAAGTTTACAGCGAATTTGGTGAAAAAAAGCCGCCGTGACCAAATGGCGCCAGCGTCAAAAATGAATGTCATATTCGTAATCAGGGCATCGAATTATATATAGGCAAAGTTTCGACGAAAATAAAAATTGGAGGATTTGGAGGCAGTAATAATGAAACAGTGAGTATCGAGATTTCAATGACTGGTATGGAAAGGGCCTAGTTGTTGAAAGTACAGTCCATATCCCGGAGATAGGGTGGGTGGGGCCGAAGACGTGATTGCGGACTACACAAACTTGATAGTTGTCGCAGTGATCAGCTGATTGAATTCCTTGATTTCTACTAGTATTCCGATTTTCTGCTGTATTTTCTATTCTCTAGCACTATTCTACTTCGCTTTAGAGCAGGTAAGTTCGTTTTAGTGAAAAAGTAAGCTGTTTTGCATGAGATTTGCACGATTTTTTTTGCAAATTTCGATATTTCGCATATTCGATGAATTCCTACCCCTCGTTTTCATTTTTAATTTTCAGCCAGTATCATTAACGTGTTCTTTTCATTGTCAAGAACACTTTTTGACACTGCTATGAAGCTTGCATTCTACGAACAACGCATTTTCCATGGCCGTGCCAGTATCGTGAGGTTTGCTTTTAATTTTTTAACTTAATTTGAATTCCCTTTTTCCCTTCGACTTGTTCTTCATCGAGGGTTAGGAATCCATCGAATATGCAAAATATCGAAATTTGCAAAAAAAAATCGTGCAAATCTCATGCAAAACAGCTTACTTTTTCACTAAAACGAACTTACCTGCTCTAAAGCGAAGTAGAATAGTGCTAGAGAATAGAAAATACAGCAGAAAATCGGAATACTAGTAGAAATCAACGAATTCAATCAGCTGATCACTGCGACAACTATCAAGTTTGTGTAGTCCGCAATCACGTCTTGGCCCCACCCACCCTATCTCCGGGATATGGACTGTATTAATACAATATGCATAACCTTGCAGTGGTTCCTTTCGATCAGAGAGGGCAACTTCTCACCGACGACGTTTGCTATGGATGTTCAGTTGAATTTGAAAAAAAAATTGCTGAGTACTCTGAGGCAGGCATCTTCTCCGACATCGCCCAACGCTCACGGTACCCTTTGCTTCGATGCAACAACAGCTTGCGATATGTCGGGTCGTGATGCTTAGGGAAATTTTATTCATTTCATTTCTTCATTTTTGTTTCATTTCATTTTTTCATTCAAACTTTGAGTCGACCTTCAAAAAGTCAAAATACGCATATTGCCATTATCATGGCCTTACTAGGTGCACATTAGTTTCATCTTTACTCGTTTCGACAACAAACGTCATGAATGTTCACAGCAATATGCAGCTCTGCTCTCGCAGGTCCTTGCACCGTTGTTCAGCTTTCATCTATGAGATAAGGGTTATCCGATCGCTCCTGCACGCTTCGGCAAAATGGACAATGTCCTTCTTGTAAGACCGCCATTTCAAAATCATCACTGTGAAACACCTGAAAGAGCTTCTTCATCAAAAATTGGATGAGGTTCAGTGGAAAGAAAACTTACCTTATTACATGATGGGCATTTCGAAACTGATATCGAAGGCATTTGATTGAAAAGAAACCGTGTTTTCAAGGGTGGCGGTAGATGAAGTACCACCACCTGACCTTTTTCCAGGCGCGCCAGGTCTTCCGCATTGAGGCACACCTCAGCTGATTTCTTCTGAATAGGAAGCAAAGTTGATATTCACGTTCCAAAACTTCGATGCCTCTAGACAAAGTGAGGATTTTCGCAAAACGAATAAGACCTCATGCAAGCAGGCCTTTATTGAGGTCATGCCCACAAGATGAGCAGCTAGGGGTTGTTCTCTATCAACCGCTATATATGCGCGTCTAAGCCTCATCAAAAAGTAATACTTATAAGTTCGCAAAATTCATGAGAATGCGCCATTTCTTAGGATTCCGCTAGATTTCTGATGAGATTCGAACGCGATTGCATTATGCCGCGACTCGAGGTGTCTGACCAGCCTGTGTATTCTGATGGTATTACTAACCGATGCAGTTTGGAAAGGATTGAAGTTAGACTCCGTCAAGTGGTGGCTCCGATTCGACCAACTTGACCGCCTCGTCAATAGGCAGATTCGGATCCACGGTGAACTCCACGAGAGGTAGAATTTCTGAAAAAAAAACGAAAAATACGAAAAATATAAAATTGATGGAGAATATAGGGGATACTTATTTGTTTTGTTTCTTCTGCCGTTCGAGGTTGATAGGTGGAACATTTATTCAATCGGCCTAACGTTTCGACAAAATCGTCGTCTTCTGAGGCCCAGGGTTCCACCGTTTGTGCAGGAATCCCGCTTCTACACAAAACCTCGGTCAGTAAGGAATAAATACAGTGTATACTTACCAAACGTAGCAAACGAATGTACAAACGCCGTCTTGCAGTGGATACAGTTCATGCCGCATGTGAGGGGGTTGTTGAATCCACATCTACAAAAGAATCAAGATGTGCCATGCATTCGTTACTTGCACATGATCGCCGGGTTTTTTGAGAATGCATGTAATCTGCGTGAAGTTACTAGAGCATAATCAAGGCCAGGTCAATGGGATTTCATAGAATGTCCTACTGGTTGGTGTAG